ACTCATTATTACAATCAAATTAAATTATTATATTATTAAAATCAAGTTATATTGTATTAATAAACAATGCAGTTAAATCAGATTGGTATGTATATTGAACAAAAATTAATAAGTTAAATAACAAAAAATTATGACAATATTTGGTTCTTATAATTTTGTTATAATTATATATCCATGAAGAGTGTCTGTGCATAATATAATAGGCCCTCAGGTGTCATGTTAATTCGTTAAGTTTAGGTGTCGTGTTATCTTACGCAACTAAGTATACAATTAGATGATATCATGTAGATAATCTAAAATCAACGCTAAAGCGAAAACAAGGGATAATTTTTTCCGGTAAAAAGTAAAATTACGATTCCAAAGAAAATGGAGAATCAAGTGTTATAAATCATATTAATATACGTGCGTACAATGGAATTTGATAATATAAGATTTGTGTGATTTCGCTACATTGGATATACGATATTCGCGGGAGAAAGCATCATGTGCATAAAAATTATGATGTTGATCTGTGATCGATCGAGTAATGAGCAGAAAAAAGATTAGAATTATATAAAAACTCTTTATATCATTTTTTAATAATTTATCGCTAAAGTGCTTTATTTCATTATAATTATATGTAACCGGGTCTTGTTCGTGCATTATTTTAAAACTATTTATTTATCTCGACGTTTCGGCTACATTGCAGCAGCCATGGTCACGAGGAGACTGGAGAACTGGTGGGTGTCGTCTTCCCATTTTTGTTGAGGCGTGAGGGTAATCCGGTAATAATGTTTTTGAACAGATTTTCAGATGTACCCTCCGCTTGATTTTATTATACGTAAAGGTGGCGACACACTGCACTCACGGTATCCGAGAATATTGTTCATGGTTGTTTGCGATCGCGACACTTACACATTTTTATAACCGGATTCCACGTTGGTGACAGTTTATATTCACTTTCCCGGTTGAAATTGTTGTTTTTTTTTATTTCAACCGCTTCAAGAACAATCCTTGGATAGTAATGTCGTTCAGTGGAAAGGACACGAGGTGAATGTAATTCGATCCAGTGGTTTGATCCAAATATAATAAGTGCTCGACAATCGCGGACTTCTCCACTTGTCGATTTTTGACAGCTGCTATGTGTTCTCTTACACGTTCGGCGATTGTCCGCTTCGTTTGTCCGACATATGAACTACCGCAGCTGCAGTTACTTTTATAAACGCCAGGGTTTGTTTAAGAATACTATCCTTTGGTGATCGCAATTGGTGTGACATTTTTGATAAAGGAGTAAAAATGGTGTCTATAGAAAAAAAAACCTCAAAATGGAACCAATTTTGTCCGTTACCCCCTTTACATAGTGTAAAAATGCTCATTGCCTGAGAACCTTAGGTAGTCTTTCCATACATCTTCGGATAGGGCGTGTCCTCCTTGCGCTATATTCATTTTTCCTTAACACGTCCTGTACATGAGACAACTCATCTGCTAAGAAGTCAGTGTTGCATAATGCGTTAGCCCTGTTAATAAGAGTTGTCTCCACATAACGTAGGTGTTGAGGATGATGATGAAATGAAGCGTGGAGGTACTTGTCTATGTGTGTCGGATTCCTATAGATAGTGTGTTTCAGGGACCCATCAGCTTGCGCCATGACTTCAACGTCCAGAAAGGGTAAGGTTTTGTCACTCTCTAACTCATAGGTGAACTTGAGATTAGGGAGGATATTATTGACATGTGTAAGAAACTGCTCAATCTCTAGTTTGTCACCTTTCATGATACAGAACACGTCGTCTACATACCGTTTCCACATACGGATCCCATGTGACTGGTAATCTATCAACGACTCGACATGTTCCATCCATATATTGGCCAAAAGTGGTGCTACGGGGCTACCCACGGCGACACCATCAATTTGAAGGTAATGTTTGCCGCGATACAGGAGATAGCTATATCGCGGCAAACATTACCATTTACAAAAATGTGTAAGTGTCGCGATCGCAAATAACCACGAATAATATTCTTGGATACCGTGAGTGCAGTGTGTCGCCACCTTTACGTATAATAAAATCAAGTGGAGGGGACCTTTGAAAATCTGTTAAAAAAAACATTATAACCGGATTACCCTCACGCCTCAACTTAAATCAGAAGACTACACCCGTCTGTTCTCCAGTCCCCTCGTGACCACGGCTGCTGCAACGTAGCCGAAACGTCGAGGTAAATAAATAGTTTTAAAATAATGCACGAACAAGACCCGGTTACATATAATTATAATGTATATAAATCGTGCTTTATTTCTTTATGACATCGTTAATGTATTACACAGTGTTAAACAAAATAAGAATTTGTCTTTCGCAAATAATATTTTAAAATAGAAATTGATATTTCTGTCTTGGCCCTTCATAATATTAAGGTTCAAACATTATTTGAATAAATTTTTAGAGTTCCAAAGGGTGAAAACCCTATTATTGAGACTTGACTATCCGTCCGACTGTCACATAACCGTGATAGCTAGTTAGTTGACATTTACACAAATTGTGTATTTTTGTCACCGCTTCAACAAGAAATACTACAAACAGAATAAAATAAATATTTTAGAGATTTTTCCATGAAAAAGCTAGGTCTTTTTTTGTATTTTTTTATATAGATTATATGGAACCCTTCGTGCGCGAATCCGCCTCGCACTGAGCTGATTTTTAATTATAGGTAAATTTTTTATTCCCAATTTATTTGAAAAGAAACGTTATAAAATCATAATAAAGTAACTACATTTCTGAAACCTGTATTGTAATAAATTCCCTGGAATATGCGTTTGTTTTAATATAATCTATCATCCCTTTCAAGTCTCTGAAATAATGTGTCAAAGGAAAATTCCTTTACATTATGATTTACTCGATGAAAGAATAAAACATAGGAAAGTTTCATGAAAATGTGACAATTTGTCATTTGTTATGTGAAAATGATTATTTCCTTTTTTATGTTACTTAAAATAATATGTGAAACAAAATGAAACAAATGCTGTATCTATACCTATACTATCTATATCAACACGCTAATGGCCATGTCATATGTGTCTGACGCTCAGAAGTTCTTCATGAGCCATGCCAGACATATGTGTCTGACGTACGCGATTTGGTAGAAGGCCACGTCGATCACAGTTGTTGTTGTATCTTGTTTGGATGCGTCAGACATATAAGACTGATACGATTTGTCGAGAAAAAAGTTTTAATATAGGGTTATGTCAGTCATATATGTGTGACATAAAAAAAATAAAAAACAAACTTTCGTGATTCATTAAGTTTTCTTGACACATTTTTAACTAAATTAACTAATAAAGTTACCATGGTCCATGTGAAAATTTTTCTGATATTATCGCGGCGATTAACGTGCTTATATTATAAAAAGGAAACATTTGATTGTTTGTTTACTTGCAATGAATAGGCTCCGAAACTACTGAACCGATTTTCAAAATTCTTTCACCTACGGGAAGCTACAGGTATATTTTACGCCGAAAAACAGCAAATAAAGGGACGAAAATAGAAATGGAAATTTGTATAGGGAATTAAACCGTTACCATAGCCATAACCATTGTTTACTATTAAATTAGTCATTGCAATTATATAATTATATGAATAGATATCCAAATAAACAGTAGCCTAGAGATCAAGCGGGTGATGCCGATAATGGAAAGCTAGTGAAATAAATATGCATAGTATAAAACAATGTTGACGACCTCCGTAGCCGAGTGGTTCGCACGCCGGTTTCAAGGTGTTGCCATTCTCTGAGGTCCCGGGTTCGATTCCCGGTTGGGTCAATGTAGAAAATGCACTTTTCTATATTGACTCGGGTCTGGGTGTTGTGGTACCTTCGTTGTCTCAGATACTCCATAAAACGGGGGCTTTAGCTACTCATCTTGGAATCTGAGCAATGTATGTGATGTTGTTAAATATTTTTAAAAATTTTTAATGTTGCTTGCCGTTGTCTATACGCTTAGATCTTATAAAAGGCTTTTAATGCGGTTTTCATCAATATACAGAGTGATTCAAGAGGAATGTTTATATGAATAACTAGTGGACGCCCGCGACTTCGTCCGCGTGGAAGTCGGTATCCCGTGGGAGTGAGAAGTTTTCCCAGTAAAAAGTACCCTATGTGTTATTCTGATGTATAACCTATATTGCTGTAAAGTTTTATCCAAATCCGTCCAGTAGTTTTTTCGTGAAAGAGTAACAAACATCCATACATCCATACTTACAAACTTTCGCCTTTATAATATTAATAGGATACAGGACCACGTGGATGAAGCCGCTGGCGAGAAGCTAGTTCAATAAATTTCGGTTCATTAAACAGGGGCTATAGTTAAGAATATGAGATATTTGTTATCTTTTGTTAGATTATAATAGTTAATTTTTATCTAAGGAAAATACTTACATTATTTAAAAGTCAACAGTGACTTAAAGTCAAATATTTTTTATATTCAATATTAGCTATATTAATGTATTTTATAATAGGAGACTTGTGATAAACTGCAACAAGACTACGGATTATTTTCGTTTATCATTAACGTAATCTATGCTTATATTATAAACATTATTATGACTTTCATTTGTTTGTTTACATCGACTATGAACCGTAACTTCTAGACCGCTTTAAAAAAAAATCAACAAAAAGATTACTTCATATGCGGATGACATAGGCTATAAATAGTCGCGTTAGTGACCCTCTCATGTTACCTCTATGCAGAGCGTCTCAAAATGTAAGCCACAGAAGAGCTCAAGATAGTAAATATTTAGCTACCCATCCTATGACTGGCCCTTGGAAAAGTTGCTTAGCTTTCACATCGAACACCGAACGTGCTTACCACTTCGCACTAGATAGAGCTCCACGACAGAGAACAAGTTACGTCACGTGAAATATGATATTTATCGATTTTTCCGTCAATAATATGAATCATTAGTATGTACACATAAAAACATTTAATTAAATCATTAGTTACTTTCCTGATAGTGAATAACTAATTACATCATCAAAATACCCTACACGCAAAACCACACAGTAGAAAAAAGGTAAACAATACAATTAAATCATAGCGTTCAAATTTCAATAGTTCAGATTTTTGTTGTCTCCTAGTACACAAGTTGTCTCGTCTGTTTAGCTCTTATCGACAGATAAGGACTACGCATTAATATTTCACTTTTACCTATAAAGACCGTGACTATCGAATGCCGATAAAGAGTCAATGATCTAAACAGTTCGGCCACTTGTTCAAGCAGTGTTGTTCACAGAAATTAACGGCATATATATTTTGTTATAACTACGAGTAAATTAAATTTTTAACTGTAAAACAGTTCGTGCATTTGTTAAAATGTCTTTTGGTGGAGTAGTTTTAGAAAATATAGTAGATAAAGTGTTTTTAGTGACCGGTGGAGCTGCTGGTATCGGTGCTGGTGTAGTGAGAGAATTATTGTTGGAGAATGCTCGAGTGAGTTTAATTGACACAAATATAATTCTTTTGGAAATTCGGGCTATTTCAGTTTCACTAGTGGTTTCACTTTATATTAGATCTATTAGGTTGACACATAAATTCAAGTTTTTAGTCGAAGTTAATGAAAAAGTGATACGAGAAGTACCTTATATAATAAAATTTACTCCATATGAATATTTCTGAAATTATTTGATTTAACATATTACCGCAATGCGCAAGGGTGACGTAATATGTTTCATTATCAAGTGACATCCGATTTTACAAATTGGAAAACTGATTGCAGATTCAGATTAAGTTATTAGTGTTAAAGTTTAAGTCATCTTTATCTTTTTACCATTGACTTGATGACAACGGAAAGTTGACAGTACATTAATAAGACCTTGTTTGAATGTAAAATGATCTCTTGATATGCGCGGAGTTCTATGGTCAAAATATTTAGCACGTTCGGTCTGCGGTGCTGAAGTAACCAGACATTTACTATCTAGATCTACTTAGTCCTTCGGTAGGCAGTTGGTATCGGCTGCATTTGCAGTGCATAGCACCTAACAAACCGTATTGAGCTCGCGAGTTTGGTTAAGACTCGTTTTGCTTATTTGATTCTGTATATGGAAGGCCTCTGCATCTAGGCTAGGTTTTTCATAAATGTTGATAAGGTACCACATCCCATAATTGATGTATGTATAAGAAGCAAAATATCAAAGATTTTTTTAAATATTTTTTCTTAAAATTACCTCTAAATATCATCGGATATATTGCTCAGATCCCAAATTAGGTAAAAGATTATGAAAATCTGAACCAATGAAGATACTACAACAGCTTGACTTGCGACATTATAGAAAAGTTCATTGTTTACATCACATTGGATGAAACTTGGACCTCAGAATTTTTAAAAGGGCGTGCGAGGTCGCCGAAAATATTTTTCGTTATTTACCCATTGCTACCAACTGTTGGTAATCGTACAGAATATTTTAGATCTTCGTTATCAGTATTCCATATTCTAAAAATATAAACCATACGCTTTTTAATAACATGAATAATTCTAAAACATGTAAAGATTGTTATGACCATTATATTGTTTCAGTACGTAGCTTTCCTGGACATCGCTGAACGAGAAGGCTTGATATTAGAGTCAGAACTATACACTAAATTTGGTGCATTAAAGGCTAAATTCATAAAATGTGATATATCAAACGAATCAGAATTCGCTGATGCTTATAAGCAAGTATTCAACAAGTATCGAAGAATAGACGTAGTTATAAACAATGCGGTAGTGTTGAGTGCTGACGACTCTGACTATAAGAGAATAGTGGATGTTAATTTGGTAAGTTATATTCGTCTTAATTTACTTATTTATCTTTCACACACTTAAATGAAAGAAATTGCTCAAAAATAGTGGGAATTATTGAGCATGTCGGAACTGTTTGTCTTCATAACTTCATAAAAGGATACTGAAGGGCCCTGGACTTAAAGCTTAAAATTGTTTGGAGAAAATTTACCTCGTGTAACTTTAAGTAATTAGGTTGTATATGTTGTGTCATACATATTCAATCTTCAAAATTAGCGATATTATATTTTCTAGTCGATATCACTTTAATGATGTTTCTCGAAGTTAAGGCGTTAAATGAATAACTTATTTGCCTTCTAAAAGTCGAATACTACAATTTAATCTGTGTATTTCTAAGAATGTCATGCTGTTTACGAGTTTATTATTAACGTACAATTAAATGTTTTTACGATGACACGTAAAAAATCGCTTAATATAAATTTTTTATCAAATTAATTCTTAAATTACCGAACAAATATTAAAAATTACCGGTAGAACTCTACATTATCGTTGAGTAGCATGAATAACATTGACTGCACCCGTGATTTGTAAGAGATAAGATAGACAGTTGGCCTATTTAGAGTCGGTGTGAAAATTGTAACACAGAGAAAATCCATTAGTTTGAATAAATAGGATAAACGATAAAACCGATATACAATATAAAAGTAATCAATACACACATTTCATGATCAAATCGATTACGGGTTAGCGGATAGTGAGTAGCTCAGTGGCGTAGTGGATAAGCGCCGCGGCCCGCGATCGTAGTCGTTAAGCAACTTTCGCAAGGGTCGGTCACGGGATGGGTGACCAAAAAAAAAAAATTATCTCGAGCTACTCCGTGCTTCGGTAGGCACGTTAAGACGTTGGTCCCGGCTGCATTTGCAGTCGTTAATACCCTCCAATCCGCATTGGGCCAGCGTGGAGGGTCATGGCCCATCCTCCTTAACCATCCATAAGGAAGGCGGTGGATAGTGACGTCAGAAATCATAAATACTGATGTATACATACATAAAAACAGTGATAGATGACAAGGAAGCCATCTAAAGACCATGTCTAATAGCTCGATTATCTTTGAAGACAAATATAATACTAGCTGTTTTTCCGCGACTTGCCCGCGTAAACGATAGCCTATATCAGCCGCATATGATGTAGCTTCCCGTAGGTGAAATAGTTTTCAAAGTCCAATAGTTTTTGAGCCGCTAGATGTAACCAAACAAACAATTAAACAACGAATTTTTTCTCTTTGTAATATAAGCCATTGAAATAAGTTGTAGGTAAAAAATAATTTATAAAACTACATAACTCTCTCTTTTATAATATTATTTTAACAACTCATTTGAGTTTAGCTTTCAAAGTTTATAAACGAAGCGGAACTTTAGATCATCAGTTAAACACGGTATAGTTATATTGTCAAATTTTCAGAGTCCTTTGACCCTTTTCTAACTGCTACACACGGGGATATCATTATGTATTTGTTTCTCCTTTTTATCTAATTCTAAACCTCATCGATATAATTGTGTGTAGTTGATAAAATAAACGTATTATTTATCTATCTATCAAATTTTTATGCACTCAGACCTATAAAAATCATTTGTAATATAACCTCTGTTAATATAAATTTTTATGTCTTTCAGACAGCTACAATAAGCAGTACGCTAAAGGCACTAGACTATATGGGTATAGACAAAGGAGGCATTGGTGGTACAGTAGTGAATGTATCATCCCTTCTAGCTCTTACACCAAAGCCACATCTACCCGTGTACGCGTCGACGAAAATCGCCGTGCTTCAATTCAGCAATTCTATAGGAGTAAGGGCACTTTCAAATTAAACGCTTATAGAAATTGCTGAAATATCGTTTCTATAAAACGATACTCCAGCGACTTCTAGTGGTGTTTTGTTATAAGATTCAATTGTGCTAATTAGAATAACTCAACAATGGGCTTAATATTGTTAAGAGGGAAGAATTTTATAAGCGCACACGCAATTTTATAAAATATATATATAAATTTATATAATATAGATGCATTTGATAAATAAATTTAAAATTGTAATTAGAATTAGCCTAAGTTTCAATTTCTTCAACTTTTGGAAGAACTCGTCATTGGATGAGTAATCATTATGAGCGGTTGATTCTAATTTCATCTACAGTTGCTAATTATATAGATATTATTATTAATATTGGATAGTTGTTTTCATTATCGTGTTTAATAGATACGTTTGTGGTCTAACAATAATGATTAATAATGACATTGAAGATTATAATAAACATAACATCACTTTCAAAAACATTATGCAAGTTTTAATAAACCAAAATATATGATCTGTGTTGACCAACTAATAAAAATGAATATTACAACATAAATTATGATGGATAGAAATACAAATTGCAAACATAATACATTATATCGCTCGTGTATCAAATTTATAATGGATGTTTCTGACTGATACCGCGATACCTATATTACTTTTGGTTTAGTTTTATTTGATTTTAACAAAATAATGTTTGTTTCGTTTTAATATTATAGAAATGCAAATTTTTTAATGTTTCATAACAAAAATAAATCAAAGAAATTTATGGTAAAGCACATAAATATCAATACTCGCTAATATACATATGTGATAAAGGTCACGTGGTTTTATACAACATCATCAACATTCATCTTTAGATATTATACACAAAAATCTTGACAGAAATCCTTCCTCATAATTTATTTATTACTTCGTGTATTGTATAAAAGAAGTTGGTTCTTTGGGTAAGAACTCAGTGTTATAATAATTGTAGGGATGTATCATCGAAACAGTTTCATTGTCGAGCATATCTGTCTTATTGATACTTGTAGATTGTTTTCTGGATTTTCATAATCCAACTCGCGAATGCGAATCGATGAATGTGAGCAACTGTAATTTCCGATGTAGCTTCTGCAAATATACGGAGGATCTCAAATAATGAATTTTTGATTAGATGCTCACAGGATACTGATCTTTACAAATGTTACTTAATTTCCATACGCGTTGTACAATGCGCCAATTAAAAGCAGGCCATCGAAATCTTCACAAATATATTAACGATAGCAAATGAATGCAAACTGAATTTAATTTGCAGCTCTCAAGTGAATGGTAGGTGCTCGTAAGTGAATAGTAGGTGAATCCTTACGATTGTTAAGTTTTATGCAAACAGTTCTAAGATACGTTTCGTTCAGCTCTTTTGATGAGATTGATGTAGATATTCATCCTAAAGTACATAAGCGAGTTTAGCATAAAATTCTCTTTGAGCTTATTACTGGAATTCTTAATATTTCTTTTTACTTTTTATAGGCAGAGTTGTTCTACTCTAAGTCGAAGGTTCGAGTTTTGACAGTATGTTTCGGACCTACTGACACAGCTATTCTACAAAAACCGAGCATATCGAATTTCGATAAACATTTTACACAAAGCCTCGCTTCGCGTGCCCCAGTCAGACAAAGGTAAAGTAATTTATAATATAATTTTGTAATTTTTGGTTAATTGTTATATAGCTATAGAAATATAATAATTATACTATATATATATATATGTATATATATGTATAAAAATCTCTCCTCGCATGTAATGTTGTTTGTGTCAAAGATGAACTCAAAAACTACTGAACCAATTTTTACCAAATTTCACATTGTTTCTACAATTTGGTATAAGTGAAAAGATATGATAGTTTTTATCGACAGCAACGCGTGGCTGTGTCAGTTAGTCTATATACTAATCTTATTAAAATACTTTCACCTGCGGAAAGTTACATCATATGCGGTGGACATAGGCATATTTTATCCCGAAAAACAGCAATTAAAAGATGAAAATGGGAATTGAAGTTGGGAGGGAATTTAAGCGTTATCATATTAATCATTGTTTCCCATTCAATTTGTCATTGTATATACATATATGCGTCAAGATACGAAACCATATCCAACTGAATTATAATATTAAATTAAATTCTAAACCTGGACTAACATATGGACTATTTTATATCCCACTAAACAGTTCCCTCCACGTTGTCGAAGCCGCTGGCACAAATCTAGTAATAAATAAATAGACAAATTAAAATCAAAAAATCTTCCCATAAGGTACAAAATGTATTGAACAAGGGAATGTATGAGATCGTAGGCATCGAACTTAGGAAGCAAAATTAAATTTGAGTAAGGCGCGCATGTGTTGTGTACGTTGCTTCGTTTATAAAATGACAGTATCGATGAATAAAAGATGAAATAGAATATCTGAACATTTATATTAAAATACAGGACGGGTAAAGTGTGTCATTAACTAAGGTAGGTTTGCAAAAAAGAAAATGTATATACCTGTAAAATATTTTGTTTTTCATTTTTAACTAATTTCATAATTTAATTTAATTTATTATTTGTATAATCTAATTTTATTTATTTTATACTTATGACTATAAATATGAGTATTAATGCTTGAAATAAATGACTTATTATTTGTGCAGTTTGGTAATTGTATGCCAGATAGCATTATTTTTAACTTTGAACAGTTATTTATCAATAATAACTAATTGCGTACATTTAAAGTAAACTTGATAATAAAACATTGAGTGTAATCAATTGCTGTTTGTTTGTCTCCCTAAAACTCGAGAACGGTTGGGTGGATTTAGCTGATTTAGGTTTTGAAATTTCTGTCGTAGACCAGGAAAGGTTTAAGGTGAACGTCCATATGTTAAACACGTACGCACCGGTGGTACGATACACAACGGATTGTATTAAAATTCCCATGACGTCATTAGCATAATTCTGACGTCAAAACTGACAGGCTCAATTTTTATAGAAACATCTATGAACTACCGAGTCTAGATCTATGCGCTGTAGAAAATTAAATGTAACGTTACATAGCTATATAGTACGCGGACGTCTAAGACGCCTCTAATGAAATCTCATTTGTTCAGTTACGATGAGTAGTTTCGAAGTTATAAGGGAACAGATGAACGTCCTTACAAACATACCGACTAAAATCATAACTCTCATTTTTGATTGCTTTTTTGGGTAAAATGCGATTGCAGTGGACGAATGACATCGACAAATTCGTGCAATGCGTTGTGGATCGTGCGGCCGGTACGTACGTGCTGAGGCAGTGGACGAGCACCTTTTAAATTGTGAGATGTTATACCGATGGTGTCGAAGTACAAAGTACATGGGGTCATCTAGTATAATATAGAAAGATGGAGAACTATTTAAGTAAAATGAGTCTTACGATGGTACTACAGTCACTCGCACAACTTTTTTAAATGACGAAGAAAACGCAGTAGGTTCTCATTTCGAGACTTATATTTTTTTATGTTAGACCTCGAATAACTAGAGATAAATTAAGATAATTCTTTTTTTAATAGATAGCTTATTGGCCAGAAGTGGTTCAAATGTATTATGACAAAATACATGGAAGAAATTTGCCAGATACAAAAATTACTTTCTTATCATCTCTCATTTTTTTCACCTATTACATTTTTCTGTTAAAAACTTATTCATTATAAAATACTTATGTTTCAGAGTAAAATCTGCAGCCTACGGTATGCTGCAGGTGATTAATAATGGAGTCAGCGGTTCAACATGGATGATAGCAAACGACAAGTCACCTGTAGATATTAGCGAAAATATTTCCGGAGGCTTTAACGTTATGTCGTGCGGTATCGAAAATAACTGAGAGAGAAATGTATTTAAAAAAGTATATGTAATGTAAAATTGTATTTTATGATGTTCATTTACCAAAGGTTTAAAGTTTAGTTATATTGTTTTTTACTTATAGCTTATTAAATTACATAGGTTAGAATCGTAGTTTCCTATGGAATATATATGGTAGCCATCCCTTAGAAAACTATAATTTTAATATTAAAATAATGTTTCTATGAGGTACTGTTTAGGTTCTAACTTCAGAGGAGAGTAGATACTTGGATTTGAAAAACCTCGCTCTATTGTGATTATCACGTGATTATAACTCTTTGGACTGCCCACTCTTTGAAAGTAAACTTACACCTTTTTTAGTTGTGTTTTGTTGTGTTTACATATTTGTTGACTTGATATTTATTTACAATGTAGTTCAAATTATTGAATATAATAGATACTTAACAAGTTTCTAGTGTGAGTCATATGACCCATATAATATAATATTCTGCTACTTATGGCAGACATCTTATATTAAAAGATCTTTAGTTTTGGTACGTTTACTAATTTATTATTATTCCGATACATAAAAATAATTAAATATAAATCTTGTTTGTTTAATTGTATAAATCCCAAGTTTCATTTCTCATTTATCAGTATAATGTGTTGCTACAAAATCCCTTCGCAGCATAAATTAACTATTGTACATTTGAAAAATAATATTTTTTTATAATGACGTCACATATTTGATCATAGACCATATATTAGGGGTGTAAATTCTTTCCTCCATAGACATTATAAAGTTCAAATAAAGAAGGACGAAATAAATAGTAGAGTAAATTAAAAATGATTAATATTCACTTTGTCTCTGGCACTCGGAAATAGTACTTGAACCCATGACCTTTCGTAATCCAGGCGACTACCCTAACCACTGAGCTACCCAGGGCCTAACAGGACTGTCGAATTTTTCAAGCACTTGTTACTTTTTCGCTACTACAAAGCGTATTTTCATCAATATTCAGGCAATCCATCCAAACAGCCGAAAGCATTTTTCATTAAGAAATTTTTTCAGTATGGCATTGTGAGTGTAATATTGGTCAATTACAATAAATAGTACAGTTGTCTGAGAAATGCATATTTAAAATTTCTATTTACGGGCATAGGTTGGTATATATTTATTTATAATGTCAACAAATTCCTGTTTGAATTAGGAAACTTATCAATTGTGCTCAATACTTATGTCTTCAGGGGTTCCTAGTTATATAATCAAACCATGTCTTTTGTACAATTTAATAATTTTATGATAGTGCCGTTTTTATTATTTACGGTTTCTTTTTTTGCATGATGGTATTATTTTCACTTATTTGTATTAATCAGATGATACATTTCTTCTATAAACACTCTAAGACTTTTTTATATGCTTCAATGAGTTTTATCACCAATCGTCACCCATCTTAGAACTCCAGGTCACATTAGCGTAGTTGCACTTTGGATACCTGTGCGTATGAAAGTGCGTTTATTTTAGTAATAAGTAAAATACACGTGATTAAGATAATTTTTGTTGTATTATGTACAAGTCAAATTTCCATACAAAGTACTACGTGTCGTACAACTTTTTTCGGCGTTTTTGGACTCTCCTCCTCGAGTTTCCTCGGAGGCATTCACAGTAAGTGTAAGTCCGTTATTTTGTGTTTTGAAGTACAAAGCCTGTCGTTCAATACAAGCGTTCGTACCAATTGATTAGAAATGCAGACCTCATTGCATACTATTGTGGTTATAGCTATATATTATACGAGCTGTTTTCTCGCGACTTCCCCCGCGTAAATTATAACCTATGTCAATCCCGTGTGATTTAGCTACCAGTAAATGAAAAAAAATCGGTTCAGTAGTTTCGGAGTCTGTTCGATGCAAATAAACAATAAAATCTTTACTCTTTACAATATTAGTATAGATCTAAGCCGCGTCCATTTAATCACAGTGCTGTTACGGGTTCGGTGCTTGGGCCAATTAATAAGGCTGCTTAGCTTGAGTATATATTTATTAGTTAAATAAGGGTAATAAGAAAAAACCGTAACAAACAAAAATAAATTTATAAAAACAGTTCGTAAGTTACTTAACTAATAAATACTTATCAAATAAACGAATACATACCCCTTGTCGGGCTTCTAGTTAACTTTTGGATCTTCCAAAATACAGATTACAATTTAGTAGTTACATATGTTATATAATTTGTATCACCATATCACATTATTTATCACAATAAATGAATTATTTTAAAATTACATAGTAAAATTTATACCATTGTAACACACCATCATCTTCATAGGTGCCCGACTAGTTCCAAATCTACGAACTAGATGGCGCTGTACATTTAAGGCATCGCAGTATCACTTTATTTTGTAATATTGTATAAGTAATATGCCGATTAATGTTATTTTAATTCGGGATTCGGAACCAACCGTTCCAGATAGGTACTTCGGCTCTTAGGCTAAGCTCTGTGCTGTGGTCTGAGACCTGGTGCTTACTGCGTGTAAGGTGGTTCCCGGATTCACCCCTGTACTCTTAGTATATTGTTTTCACGGAAATAAACCCCAGTTTGTCACTCTCGCCGTTTTCTCATTTTTTTTCACCATCGACGTGGCCAATCCTTTTACATCTGGCGCTCCAACTCGTGGCCCTGCAAAACCTGGAAGTCAACCGGGAGGACCTGGACCCAAAATTTCGTCCATAGGAGTATTTTCGTCCATTCCGGAAGTCAACCTCAACAAGGTGGCGGAACAGCCAAGCAGAAAAGACCCCACGGAACAAACTTCAAAGTTTATCACAACCAAATTTGGCCGCAAAACCACGGTGAAGAAATCAACAACAGAGACTATGGCTGTGAATTTATCTGATCAACAATTTTCTCAGTTGTTGGCGTCTATTGGCACGGGTAGACGCAGTTCTATAGCGTTCTGTCAAGCTTCCTACGATGGCAGCAAGGACCCGGAAGCTCTGGAAGTATTCCTGGCTGCTGTGAATACCTACAGGCATATAGAGCATGTAACTGATAGCGAAGCACTGGCGGGACTGTCACTGCTATTACGGGACGAAGCGGGGAAATGGTGGCAAGGCGTCAAGCACAACATTACCACTTGGGATCATTTTGAAACCCAGTTACGAAATAATTTCGCTCCTAAGAAACCAGCGTGTCTAATTTTTCACGAAATTATGTCAGAAAAGCAATTAAGTGGAGATACTACCGAAGCATTTATTAGAGGTAAAAGGATGCTATTCTCACTATTACCTAAACCTGGACTAACAGAAGAACAACAACTAGATATGATTTTCTATCTTATTCATATCAATATTCGTGAAAAATTGCCTAGAACCGGATTTTCTACTTACGACCAACTTTTGAATGCAGCTAGAGAAATAGAGCAAGTCTTGACAGAAAGACGCGGCAGCACACAATTGACCCAACCAGACACCAATGCACAAGGGAGACCTTTTAAGACAAAGTGTAATTATTGCAAAGCACCCGGCCATATAGCAGCTAATTGTTTTAAAAAGGTCAAAAGAACAAAGATGGTACATAATACACGGAAACCTGCTTTAACGGAGGTTGAAACGCAAGCGCCTTCGCCGACCCAGCCAAAGATATCCTGTTACGGCTGTGGGGCGCCGGGGTACGTCCGAACCAATTGCCCAACATGCACAAAAAAACAGGTCAAGGTGGAACAAGTCGACTTCTGTTCTTTGAATGTACGCACTGATGTTCGCCCTAGGCCAGTAATAGCGGTCGCGATTGAAGATGTGCACGGTGTAGCCTATATCGACACATGTGCGAAAACCAGCGTAGCCTCGTACTCGCTTTATACTACCCTTAAGCAGAAAGGCTACGTGTTCAAACAGGAAGTGATGAATATAGCACTCGCTGACGGGATTACAAAGACACAGACTACATTGGTTGTTACAGTTCCAGTGTCATTATGTGGACGGATCATACCCACAGCATTTATAGTCTTGCCTGACTCACGCGACAACAAGACTTTGTTAGGTATTGGATTTTTGACGGATGCAGGTATGATATTGGATATACCTCAATTCATCTGGTACTTTAATGATGCACCTGAGACAAAGTATGAACTTTATGAAGAGGACTTCATCTGTCCCAATGTTAAACTAGTATCCTCTAAGGTATCCCACACTGCTCCAATCAAGACTATTGGTCCATACATAGAATCAGCTCGGACATGGGATGCTCCACGGAAACCCACTCATGCAGACTTACCACAAGAGAGTGCATGCTCGTATTACAAGCCTATTCCTATTGATATTGCAAAGGAAGGAAAGGCTACACACAGTCAAACTGTATTCGATGGATATTCTCCTTTTCTTGATTATATGATGCGGGATGCACAGATGAATATCCATCAAATAGATGTGAGCTTATCCCCCAACTCTAAGGATCTTTTCCCGGGCCAAGACCTGTATTGTTCTGATATAGGCATTAATTCCTTAGAAGTGAAGTTTAATGTAGCTCAAACTGATAGCGTTTTGTCTATGGAACAATGTAAAGTCTTAAATAAATTGTTACAAAAGTATGAAGATGTTTTTACTGATAATGGTTACCCTGCTTTATACACGGAACATCATATTGATACAAAAGATCACAGGCCTATTGCCTTACCCCCATACCGTTTATCACCTTCTCGTAAAGAAATATTGCGAATGGAAATAAACAAGATGCTCTCTAAGGGTATTATTGAACCCTCTGTCACCCCGTGGGCTGCCCCGGTGGTATTAGTTCCGAAACCAAATGGTGATATAAGGGTATGTGTTGATTATAGAAAATTAAACGCCATCACGGTACCCGACTCGTATCCAATGCCTAGAATAGATGACTTGTTACATGAAGCTAAGCCCACATTATACATGTCTACACTTGATCTGAAAGCAGGCTATCACCAGATTAATTTACGAAGAGAGGATAGAGAGAAGACGGGTTTCATAACTCCCTTTGGAATATACATTTTCAATCGCATGCCGTTTGGTTTACGAAATGCGCCTGCTACTTTTCAAAGATTAATAGACAAACTCCGTGTGAGCCTTGAAAATATCAAACTTCTAGCCTACCTCGACGATTTAGTTGTGTTCTCTTCCTCCTTTGACACTCACCTAGTGGATTTG